CTACCGCCACCCGCGCCGCGCTGCCCGCGGGGAACCCGCCGCCTGTCGGAAACCGGGGCCGGGACTCGGCGGAGCGAGGGCGCGGCGGGGCGCGGGGGGCTGAGGGCCGCCGCCTCACTGCCGCACATCGCGCGGGGCCGCGGGGAGGAGGGCGGAGGGCGGCGCAGCCCCTGCCTGCTCGTGGCGCTGCGGCCGCGGAACGTGGAGGAGGAGCGGGAGCGGTTCTTCCGCGCCAGCTTCGCCTACGACCCGCAGTTCGAGTACGCCGAGCCGGTGCCCGCCGCCGTSCTGGACAAATACGGGGCCGCCTCCGACCGCTTCGTGGCTCAGGTGAGGCGGGGCCGGGGAGGGATGCTCGGCCTGGGAGGAGGAGGGCTGTACGAGGGTGTGGATATTCACATGCCACCGGGATTCATCATGGTGGGACTGCTCCGTGGTGGGGCTGGCCAGGAGATGGTCYACGGTCATAGAATCCTGGARTGGTTTGGGTTAGAAGGGATTTTAAARACCACCCGACACACTGCCATGGACAGTGACACCTTCCACTAGATCGGTTGCTCCAGGTCCCATCCAACCTGGCCTTGAACATTTSCAGGGATGGGGCAGCCAYATCTTCTCTGGGCARYCTGTGCCAATGCCTCACATCCTCACAGGGAAGAATTTCTTTTWAAYGTCCAACTTWAACCCACCCTCTGTCAATTTAACACCCTTCCCCCTCGTCCATGTGAAATCTTGCCTGCTTTCCTTTCTACCTGCTTCCTGATCTCTCTCTCCTTAACACCTTTTGTATCTTGCCTTCAGCACGGTCACCCTGTAATTTCTTAAACCTGTTTGGGGTAACCTCACCTACCTACAGGAATGGTACATGCTGTGTGGGTGACAGCATGGGTGACAGCATGGGTCACACTGGTGCTGGGTGATGCTGCCAGCATCTACCCACTGGCCAGGTTGGATGGGGATTTCAGCATCTTGGTCTAGTGGAAGGTATACCAACTCATGGAGGAGGATTGCAACTAAATGATCTTAAATGTCCCTTTCCACACAAACCAATCTGTGTTTCWATGATCAAACTGGCTCCTGCTTATGCTGGAAGCTGTGCTCCATCTGGGACACCTTGCTGGCATGGTTTTGCACTTGTTGCTGTAGAAATAACAGCCGAGGAGCTGGAGCACATGGGTGACAGCAAGGGAAGTGGTCCTTAGCCTGAATGACCTGGTGGTTAAGTCTGGCTTGTTTTCTGGAAGGCCTAAAAGTTGTCCAGTGTGGCAGCATCCTTAAGGCATCAGCAAACATGGTCAGTAGTGATATTAGTTGATGTAGACTCCACTTCAGGAGTCTCTATTATTTTGCTTAAATGTTTCCATGGCTTATACTCTAATGAAACATTTCTGAGTTGCTCTCTGCCATGTGAATGGTGCTGAGAAAACAGCTCCTGGTCAGTCAACAGGAGAAAAGAGGCAGGAGTGTGCTTTCAGGGTCCTCTGCCCACAAACAAGCCTTTTGTGGATGCAGGAGTAGAGCTGCTCTGTCCCTTTGCCCTGTGCTCAGAGCTGGAGCCTGGCCATGCCCCCAAACCAGTTTGCTCCTGGGAGTGGGCATCCTGCCTCTGGCAAGAGCATCCTTTCTACCACACCAGCAGGGAGCAGATAAAAACCCCCTTTTACCCCAAATTCAGATTGGCACACCAAGAGGTGTTTATTTCTTCTCCCAATTGGGAGTTACTCATTCAAGCAACAACTTCATCACTAATTTATTTATTGTTTTTTGAATGTTTACTTATTCCCGCATCACTGCCYGTGTGTCTGCCTGGATTATTACCCAGATGATTCAGGCCCTTTCTGTAAACAGCTTTCTAAGCGGTTTGTCATTCCCAGTGTGTGCCATACCTCTGCCCTAGATAAACTGGTGCCAGCAAGGCTCTTGCAGGGGAGACACTCTGACTCCTGCAAAGACCTCGCCAGCTTTCAGCGTTTCCCTCCTGTATTTCATTTCCTGAGTCGTGCAGTAAAATGAGTTGCTCAGATCTCTTTTTGCCCCCTGCTTTTTCTTTTGGTGCAGTTGGCTTGCAGCAGAGTAAAAGATGAATAATTGAGATTCTTTTTCTCTGGGCAATGCTTTGAATGAATGGAATTAAGGGTTTGTGACCACTGTGGATTCTGAAAGTTTTTGCAAGAGATATTAAGTGCTGAGTGTTTCTGCCAATGTTTCTCCAAGTTTTCCGGCGATGGTCCGATGGGACAGCATTCATGGCACTGTTCCTTTGCTCTTACCCTACAGTAACCTCCTTCCAGTCTCTTTTATTTTGGGAAGCATTTTTCCTTGCCAGCTAACTCTTAGCTGTAAACTGCTTTTATTTTCAAAGACCTTCATAAATCATGGAGCTTAAATAAATGAGACATTTTGCTAAGTCAGCATCTTTGGACACAAGCAGACAAATCAGCTCCCTGCTTCCAGCTGCTCTGCATGTACTTGGGGATTTATTTTATTTTTTTAATAAAAATATAAATAAACCAGGAGGATTCTTGCAGCCCCATTGCAGCTCATCACCCTGGAGATCACATCTCTGGTTTGTCACATGAATTTGAGTGGCACCAGCACAGAGCTGGGGCTGGAGGATTTGTTATCCCACTGCATATGGTGGGTCCATGATTTGGGRATGCTCAGAACATTAAACTTGGTATCTCAGGAATTTTGCTCGCCAGGGTGTGCTCTGAAGGTTGGGGAGGAGCTCTTTGGTTGTCTTACTCCTGGGCACCAGCTGTGCTGGGTTTCTCTTGGCTCTGTGGTTTGGGTCCCCTGGGAGGAGAGAGAACAAGTGGCTGAGCAGAGGTGGGAGGACGAAAGGTCCGTTTTCTGCCGTGGTCAGCTGGAGGGTCCTTGCAGTGCTGTAAAAATGAGCCTGACTGTYCAGCAAACAAAGCAAAAAAAGCAAAAAACCCACCCCAACCCCCCAGAAAACAAAACTGAGAATAGAAAAACTGTGCACAGAGTCTCCTGGAAAATTCACCATAAGTGACTTGAGAATAAAAACCAGCTGTGAAAACTGCCCAGGGAAGGAAAATGAGAACCTTCTGCAGGGATAGAGGGAGTTGCTCACCACATGCAGACCATAAACCTCCTCTTRGGATCATAGAATTATTTAGGTGGGAGAAGACCCTTTAAAATCAAGTCCAGCTGTTACTTCCACTGCCAATCACACTGCTAAACCACATCCCCAAGTGCCACATCTACATCTTTTAAATACCTCCAGGCATGGTGACTCCACCCCTACCCTGGTCACCCTGTTCCAATGCTTGACAATCCTTTCCATGAAGAATTTTTTTCCTAATATCTGACCTGAACCTCCCCTGGCACAACTTGAGCCATTTTCTCTTGTCTTATGGGTGTTGGATGATTTGAGCACCAGTACTGATGGTGGGCACCCATCTCCTGAACCTGGGTAACCTTAGGGACTGCAAAGGGACAGCAACTGGTCCTGGGCTGGGAATCTTGGCAACAGCTCAGCCAGGTTTGCAGATGCAGTAAAACTGTTGGAAAAATTCCAGAACTGGTTGAAAGTCATCTGCTTTGGAATAGGTACTAATACAATATTAATGTAATGTATGATATTAATATATATTCCAGTGACTGGAGAAGGTAATTGCTTGAAAATGTCTGGAATAAAAGCACASTTTTTGGAGAGGAAATGTGCTAATAAATGTTCATATTTTATAAATGCWCCATAAATGTTAATGGGAATAGTGGAGCACGTGATGCTTTTATTAGAAGGCTGCTGGGTGTGCAGYAGGCTGGTGGTGCTGAGACCCCGTTTGACTTCAGAGGGGGATGCACAGCCTTATTGCTGGGCTTRGAATCCAACAATGTAGTAAGAAACAGGCTAAAAAGCAAGCTGGGAAACTGGAGATCTTTGTGCAAGCATCAGAGTTTGCAAGGAGAACTGAAAGCTGAAAAGATTGAAAATAATGATGGATTTAACCACACTGAGACGATGCGGTTTCGCTTCTGCTTTGCCCCATTCCCRCAAGAGATGCCTGCAAGGGTGACAAAAAGCAGAAGGAATATGCTGTGTGTCGTGCTGATTGTGTGAAGTGTCTGTCTGTCCTGGTGTCCACCTCCAGCTGGCACAATCTCCTTGCTTTTTTAGATTTTGCAAAACCACATCTCATTTCAGTGGCRTTAATCAGGGTTTATCTTCACTGGTCTTGTTGCACGTGGGATATTAAGGTGTGTTTATTCGTGGGGAGGTGTTTGTGCTTATGTTTGTGCTCTCTGTGTGCTGCAGGCCATCAGGATWATTCGCACTGTGCTGGAGAAGTACGGCACCTACGAGAGCTTCGAGGTCGCCACGGGCGGGAGGCTGCTGAGCAAGTGCCAGATCTGGTCCGTGATCCGAAAGTACATGCAGAAGGAAGGCTGTGTGGGAGAGGTAATCTGTGTCCCTCCTTTATCACTTGTAAAATAACAGCAAAGTGTTTATTTTCTGATGGAAAGGACTCAGATTAAGGAATGTTTTGCTACAAAGAGGTTACGAAGAGGGAACTCTTCTGTCCTGAGCAGTGATGTCCTTTCACRTGCAGCTTCACCGTACTCCGGCTTTAGGATGTGCGTGCTGGTTCTCCACAGATTTCCTATGATATTTTCCATGTGTATCTCCCTTCCATGCTTGAGAGAGAGGGAGGAGCAGCTGCTTGTCTGTGTGGCCATGCCAGGACCCTTTTGCTGCATGCATGAATTACTGTTGGGAGGTCATTTCTTGCTATTGGCAGTGGGAGGGCAGACTTCTCCAACAGCTGCCTGAACCCACAGGTCCAAAAGCAAAGCCAGGGGAAGAGATTTCCTGCTGTCCTGTGAGACAGGCTGGGTTATGGTGCTTTGAAACTCCAAGCTTGGGTTTTAAGGCTGGGAAATACATGGTTAAGATACAAGAGTTGCCATGGSGGATGGAGCCAGGGGAAAAGTTCAACGTCTCTTAACCTGGTTTCTCTGCACATCCTGGAGAATCCAGCATGGGGCATCCCACAGCTGCCATTAAGGAGCTCTTTTTCCCTCTTCTGCCAGCAAGGTGTTGACAAAACACTTCCACTGTCTTGGGTTTAAGGTTTGAGAAGAATTTCTGGACCTGGCTTTGCGTGGATTGGTTTGCAGGACTCCCTGGGGCTGTTGGCTGCCGGACAGGGACTGTGCAGTGCTGGCTGGTGTGGGGTTTCCTCACCACTGCTTCTTGGCCAGACTATTTCCTACCTCTGATTTTTCAGCTCTGTCTCCAAAGAGGGTTATTGATGAGCATTTCTCCAAAGCATCACCTCTCCCACTGGTACCCAGTGTATTCCAAGCCCATAAAAGCAGAATGAGGGGTCCCCTGAGGTCCCACATGTCCCAAGGACATTCCTCCTAAAGCACCCTTGGTTTACCCTGATGCCTGCTGAGGGTATCCCTGGAGTATAGGTTGGCACCTTGGTTCTCCTAAAGCTTTGCCTGGGATAGAAAGGATTTCTGCAGATCTTTTCCTACAATTGATCTGCCTTTGAGTGCCCAGAGCCAGTCCCAGTACCCAGCCAAGCAGCTGCCAGTCTTACAGACCTGCATGTATAACTTGATAGTTGAGCTCTGTCTCTCAGGTGTATTAATTGATTAAATTCAGCTATTCTCTTCTCCATTAATTGAGCTCTAGCTGGACAGAAAGCCATTGATTTTCTTACGTATTGGTGTGCAACTGGCTTCCTTCCAATCCTGTGTCATTCTCCCTGTGCTCAGAGCTATTAGGAGCTGGACTCAATGAACCTTGTGGGTCCCTTCCAACTCGGGACTTCCTGTGATTCAAGGGAACACAGAGTTCAGTCACTGTTTGCACATCGGTGTGCGAGATATGTGGCTTGTTTTATCTGGGACTTTTGATAAGTGCTTTTAAAACAAAGGATAGGTTTATTCCTTTCTATCCATTAGAAGTTTTGCTGGTGAGTCTGGAGTGGAAGAGAGAGAAGGGTTTCACCTGCTCTTGATGCAGCATTGTKGGCAGAGCTTGCTCCTACAAGACCAAAACTTACTGAAACTTCTGTATAACTGATAATCTCACATCCTGTTGGGGAACAGGGTTGTTTCAGGCGGGTTTCAGGCGTCTGTCTCCCTCCCTGCACCTGTATCTCTGATTCCTGACTTTCACCATCTGTGCCCTGTCTGTTCTGCTGTGCCCTTTGCTTACCTGATACGTACTAATCATGATGGCTTGCTTAAAAAAGAAGAAATTCATGTTGGGGTAGCATTAGCCCAGAGCTCRAGCAGCTGGTACATCCCTGCCCACAGGCCGTCCTGGCAGGCAGCGTGGCCAGGCTGGTGGCAGCCACTGCAGCTGCCCTTTGTCCCCAGCACCGATCAGCAAAGGCAGAATCCYGCTTTCCAGCACCGTAGGCAGCGCGCTCCTGGGTAAGTGTCCATGCTGAAATTAACTTTGTGCCCTCAAAAGCTGCTTTGGCAGGGTCCAAGCTGCAGATCCTGAAGCTCTCCTGCTTTTCTTTTGGCTCAGGACAGACACGATGTTGCTGGAGGTTTCCGTACGGATTTCAGTGGGTTCACAGTTTGCAGCAGAGAAACACCTGGCCCCACTGGTAAGTGCTGCATGGCAATCCCTGAGGTCATGGAGTGTTGTCAGCCTAAACAATGCTAGCTGATGTCTCCTGGGATCCCATCAATGGTGTCACTCTACCTCTGAGCTGCTTGCTCAGTGTTGGAGGTCCTGAGCAGTGCCAAGTTGCTGGGGAGAGACAGGAACTATACCCCTGTGCCAGGGGGACCACCAGAAGCCTTCCCTTGGTTCCTTGGGATGAGCTCTTTCTCCATYAGTGCATTCACAAAAGCTGAGCAGAAGCATCGACCACAAGGATGCACTGGGGATGCTGCTCAGAATGAGAGAGGTCCCAGACCTGGAGAGCTGGTGCTGCTGCTCCAGGAGCAGGATTTTGGGCTGGAGTTGCAGCCCTAGTTATAACAGTACCTGCAAAGCTGGAGGGTCCCAAAACAAGGCAAGTGGTGCTGCTCAGCAGGATGGGCTGCTGCAGCAGGGAAAGGGCTGCAGTGGGCAGTGTGASAAACTGTGGCCTCTGGCATTGCCCAGTTGGGCAATGGAGAGTTCCTTTCCATTGTTCCTGGATGACTGGTTCTGCACAGGGAGACAGAGGTGAACTGACAAGTCTCTTCTCAGCGTTGGAGGGATTCCTTTTCACGCTGGYATGTTTTAACCCAGGTAAGCAGTTGCACTGTGAGTATTTGATGTTGTTTGTTTGCCCAACGGTGGACTCTGTTACGCTGCACTTTTGGCTTTCATAATAAATAATTATAATAATAATAGTAATAATAAATCTGACTTAAAGCAAACCAATTCAGTCTCCTCTCGTTTTTTTTAATAAGAGAATAATTGTCATGTAATAACATTTGCGTGCACTTTCATCCTGAAGTGTCAGCTATGAAATAATAGATGGTTTGTAGAGTTAATAGGTATGTAGGGAATTTTGACTGCTATCCTGAGGTTTGCCACTGCCAAACTTCAGGTGCAAGAGCGCCCAGGGACCATATCTTCTGGTGATAGATGCTACACCGTTGAGTTGCTGTAGATCTGAAGTCAGGTGGTCAGAATGTGCTGCTTGGCTGGCACATTAATTCATGAAGAGCAACTCTTTTGGCTCCAGCACCTGTGATAACCAGGTTTCTCAAAATACCATTTTTTTCTGGATAAAGACACTGAATAGTCCTGCACAAGCAATGCCCATCGCTGCTTGAATTGTGGCCAGCACACATGGGTTCTCTTGTGAGGGTGGACTGGCGTGGAGCCATTCTCACTGTTGATGTCTTGGAGCCTCGAATGGGAGAATCCATGGAGGAGTCCATGAAAATGGAGCCAGAGCCTTGAACCCCTCAAGAGATGTTTCTTGGGGGATGCAGAGCCCCCCAAAGCTGGTGCTGTTGGGTGTTCAGAATGGGGTTGTGTTGATGGCCCCATCCCATTGCTGGTGGGGATGCAGAAGGGGGACCAGGCGGGTGTCCACAGGATCTCCATCCTGTGTGGCCCCAAAATTGTGGRGAGCCCATGGGAGCAAGCCAGGGATGGTGATGCTGGAGCCACAGGGATGCTGGARGAGGCTGCCCAGGAGCTGCCTGCTCCCCCACAGTGCCTGCTCAGCTTTGCTGGCTGTAAAGAGATTAAAGGAGCTACTTCATCCCTGCATGAGATCATCTCTCTCCTCTCATTATCCCCTGAACCCCAATGGCTCTTGCTRTCTGTCATTCCTCTGGGGAGCTGCAGCACAGTCCAGTGATGGTGCAGCAGTGCCAAACGGTGCCATCCTTGGTGTCAGTGGATTTTTCTGACCATCTGCCACACCATCTCAGCCTCTGCTGAGAGCCAGAACCCTGCTGATGGCCGTTGCCTCCTTTTTCTTCTGCAGGTGGTGGTGCAGCTCACGGATGACCTCCTGTCGCAGGCAGTGATGATGGTGGAGGACAGCCGGCCCACRCTGGCCATCAACCTGGCCGGAGCCCGGCAGCACTGGCTGGAGGGGATGCTGCGCCATGAGATAGGTCAGTGAGGTGGCTGTGGGTGTGGGGCAGAGCAGGGGCAATCCTCTGGGTAATGCCCTGGGGCAAGGTGGTACCCACAGATTCTGCAAGGGAGCATCCTCATGGGGGTTCCTGAGCGGGTTTGGAAGGGTCTGAGGTCACCTGGACCACTCTGTGTGTGCAGGGTAATGTGTTCACTGTTTGTTCATGTCTGGCCTTCCCCTGGGTGGGATGTCCCATGGCATCATCACCAGCTGAGACTGGAGCAGGCACTCACGAGTGCTGAGATTTGGCCCCAACCCCAGCATCTTGGGATGGGGTAGTGAGCTGAGCTTTCTGGAGCTGTGGCTGATGGCACTCTCTCCTGTCCCCCCTCCCCAGGCACCCACTACATCCGGGGGGTCAACAACACCCGCCAGCCCTGGCACAGCTCCGAGGGCCGCAAGCAGTACAGCCTCAAGCCCGCCAACCCCACCGAGGAAGGCTTGGCCAGCCTGCACAGCGTTCTCTTCCGCAAGCAGCCCTTCCTGTGGCGGGCAGCCCTGCTCTACTACACCATCGAGCGGGCCAGCCRCCTCTCCTTCTCCGCGCTCTTCCAGGACCTGGAGCAGTATGTCCAGGATGCTGGTGTGCGGTGGGAATACTGCGTGCGGGCAAAGCGGGGCCAGACAGACACCTCACAGCCAGGTACCACTCTGGGGGTGTGAATTGAATTTTGGGAGGAATTCTATTTATTTTTTTTCTTTTTTTTTCTTTTTTTTTTTTTTTTTTTTTTTAATTAAATTTGTTTTTTTTTTTTTTTTTTTTTTTTTTTTTTACAATGRAAACAGAGGGTGCGTATGTTCTGCTGATGTGTGAGTCCTGTAGAGTGTGAGTTAGCACAGGCAGACAGAACAGCCACAAACTCATGGCTGGAGCACAAAGAGTAAATTTATTTCCATTACCTCACTAACTGGGGGATCCCCAGAGCAACACTCAACACCTGGGCAGAGGAACACAAGATCAGAGGATCACCAACCTGCTGTTCACAGGCTTATCAAGAATTACACCCAGGTGCAAGGTCACTAGGGCAAGTTACAATCCTCCAGATCAGTGTTCTGCTTTTAACCCTTTCCTCCCAACACAGGCATAGCAGCCAGTCCCTGCATCCCTCCCCCTTCCCAGCACTACCCCCACTATCCCATGGGAGCAACTTGCACAAGCTCTCAGGGAAGCAGCAGGCAAAGGAAAGGAAAAATGAGCATTACTGTGGCTACATTTGGATGTTTGCAGTAGTTTACCCTTAAAAAAATTACTTGGGAAGAAGCATGGAAGTATCCCAGTGAGGTTTGTGGTTCTTGCTGCACTCGGCTGCCTTCCCAGGGCTCATTCCTCAGGACCTAGTGTCCTGAGCCCTGGCACACTTGTGGTCAGTGCCCTCATTCTGGTTATTGTGGTCAGCAGATGTTCAGGCAGGWGGAGGGCAGTGGGAAGCCAGGCTCTCTATCCCAGGCCTTTCCTGCTGTTCCAGGCTGTTTCAGTAAGGACCAGGTGTACCTGGACGGGATTCTCCGCATCCTGCGCCACCGGCAGACCATCGACTTCCCACTGCTGGCTGCACTTGGAAAGGTAACAGAGTGAGGGTGGGGCAGGGAGGGCTGATCCCAGTGTCCCATCCCATCCCAAAACTCACACAGGCTCCCTCAATCTCATGGCTTCCCAAAAACCAGGCCTTGCCTGGCAGCCCTTCAGCTCTCTGCCTTTCCCTGTGCTTATGGGTGTAGCAGGGAAAGGCTGTGCTGGGTAGAAGACAAGGAAGGACAGGACAATCCATAATCCTCTGTGGGAGACCTTCGGGAAGAGGCTTAACCCAGCAGGTTAAGCCTTTCTGGCCCTTGGCCACAGCAGTCCTGCTGTCACCTGTCCTTGCAGTGACCGAAAATTACCAAAACCACAAATCCTTGCAAATYCCACACTCCCAGCTCTCTCACTGCCTCCCCACAGGCAGCAGGGATGTTTGGGCAATTGGGGGAGTGATCCGGGGGCCTGCAAGGGCACCAGATACCCCCCATGGCACCTGCCAGCATTTGGGATGGAAGGGACTGACCCCATCTCTGTGCTTCCTTGCCAGGTCTCCTATGAAGATGTGAATCGGCTGAAAAAATTTGGAGTCCTGGATAAGGCCCGCATCCCCCATTTCATGCAGGACCTGGAGAGGTACATGAAGCAGCTGGATCACATTGTCACCACCAATGGCCTGAACGAGGAGGAGCTGGAGCAGCTGCTGCCTGACTGAGGGGCACCCCCTAAACCAGCACCCCAAGGGTGTAACTGGTGCTATTTATTGGGTATTTATTGGGGCTGGAGCAGAGGGCAGAGCCCAAGGTGGGCGCTGTGCATGTAACCGCTGTGTAGGGTAGCGCGGCYGAGGGCCCGTGTGGTTGTGTTGATGTGTCCCCCCACATCGTCCCTGTATATTTTGGGGACAGCTGTGTGGCTCCACGTGGTTTTGGGGAGCCGAAGAAGAGGGTTCAGGGGGAACGAGGGTGGAGTTGGGGCAATGTGCTGGTCCCTGAGCGCAGAAGGCTGTGCTGGGGGAGTTGCAACAGGGGGATTTCTGTAGGGTACTGGGAGTGCTCCCAGCACTGTGGCGGCCCTACCTGGGGCAAGCAGACAGGACTGGGAGCTCTGGGCTGTGCCTGGCAGGGAATAAGGGCTGGCCTGCACCCACAGATTGTCCCATGGATGCCTTTTCCGCTCCCTATCCCTTCCCTSATGTCCTCTACCAGCAACAGCAGGGACTTTAATCCCCCATTACCAATCTCTGCCCAGCTCTGCACCCCGGCTACAGCCACCCTGCCTGGCTTTGAGGACTCAGGGTGGGGACTGGGCTTGATGTTAGGAAAAAGCGTGTAATAAAGGTGATGTAATGGAAAGGACGTGTGGGCAAAAGGTTGTGGATAGCATCAAAAACCAGGCTGGTGGCACCACTGCGAACACCCACCGTGCCTCTTGCTGGCACAGGCAAAGCTGCATGGACTGAGCTGGTGCGTCAGGGGCTGGAAGGGGTCATGGAATGTGAAAAACAACATTCTGGGCAGGGACAACATCAGTAAATCAAAGTAGGCGAAAGTTAAAACTGACTTGAGTTGTTCCTGGTCTCTAACACACAAACTCTGCAGCAGTCATGGCAACCTTAGGAGCACCCTCTTAAAAAAAAAAAACAAAAAAACAAACAAACCCCACAGCTTCTTGCCTTACATCCCCCTGAGCTCCTGTGAAGGTAGCACAGGCCAGTCTGTGGCTCCAGAGAGCTCAGGCTCAATCCCAAAAGCTCCAAGTTTGGCTGCAAGCCCTGTTTGCAGCATCCCCAGCTGCTCCTCACTACTGATCCTGCCGGGCAGCTGCAGTTTCTCTGCAGGGTGCAGAGGCTGTGGCAGGCAGGGCAGCACAGACCAAAAGGAGGAGAGCACTTGTCTCTGGGGATTCTGYTTCCCTCTGGTTCCAGCTCTCCAAGAACACACAGGCATTTTTCACAAACCCAGTGCCAGCACGGTCAGTTAAGACTCTGCTCTTTAATGTACTATTTCCTCCAACATTGCACTCCCCAACCCTGAACGCGATACAGCGCTGCTTTAAAAAGGTATTTACACACATCCCAGCATAACCCCCTGTCAGCCCAAGGAGCAAAGCCTCAGCCCACGCTAAGACCCAACAGGGGCAAGTCTCTTGCAGCCCTTCTGGCGGAATGGCAGCAGTGACAGAGGGCAACAGAGCAACTGCAGTGGTTTGGGATTGGTTTTGGTCGCATCCCTGATGAGAGAACAGCATGGAGATGGGAGAGGGTGTTGATCTATCCCCAGCCAGGGCTAGAAGCGTTTCATYTGTCGGCGTTCCTGTCGGCGCTGCTTCTTCTCGTTTGGCTCCTGAGCGGCGGGCGAGGACTCKGCTGTAAACCAGGGCCCCAGGATGTTCACCCACAGCAGGTAGAGAGCGCGCCCCGGGGCCTGCAAAACACAGCRGCACAAAGCTGGTCACTCTGGGGACAGCGCTGGCACGGGAGTGCTATGGCCAGGAGGCCTGGASCTTCTGAGGGAGACACAGCAGCTGGATCAGAGGCATCACAGGATGCACAGAAATCAAAGGCAGTGATGGATGTCCAAAATAAATGGTCTGATTTCATTTTATGGTTGAGGAACTTGCACACGTATACAGTGCTCAGGCTTCACACACGGAAGTCCCAGCATCAGGTCTGAATTACCCAGAGGGATYCAACTGTCCAGACATTCTGCCTCTCCTTCCTTTGGAAAACACACCCACATTTCTCTGAATTTATAAAAAAAACAATCCAGATGGTCTACAGGGGATAGCCGAGTCTAGGCTGCCCTCTGTCAGGCCAGCTAGGAAGGAATTTGTGGGTGAGACAGAAATGAAATCAAGGACTGAGCTGGAATAACTTTCCATGCTCCCACAATTGCCTTCTGTACCTTAGTGGGATATCCTCAAAGCAACTGTGGGATTTTTTTAACTAAATGGAGATCTTTTTCTCCTGCACAAGCAGTTTTAGCTGRAGGCTCAGGAGCAGAAAGAGTTTGGTGTGTTAAAGGGAATGAAAGCCTATAGCATTTTATGTACTCAGAAGCACAGGATCCAGCAGATCCCAGCTTTGGTCCATGCTGAATGGCTGAAAAAGCCRAACAAGGAGAAACACTTTTTGTTACAGACACAGAAAGGCTCTGTGCACCAAAACAGCTTTGATYTGCCCCATGTTGCYTGTTGCCCTTTCATGGGACCAGAGRGAAGGACMAAGGCCAGCCCAGTTTTYGCATGGYTGGCCCAGRGGGATCAGGACTTCYTTGCCTTGTGTGGCCTCATTTTTARTAAGATTTGACAAGGAGATTAAAAAATGTGTCAGAAAATACATTTGGCCCAAAACAGGACACTGAAATGAAATGGATAAATAAAATCCTCAGTCCTGAAGACAGGGAAAGACAGCAACAATGCAGAGCAAGGTGGAAAACAGCAGGGGCTGGGGCTTACCAAGAGCCAGAAGTACCAGACGTAGAGCGAGAAGCAGCTCAGCACTTGAACTATAGCTGTCAGCAGGATCACATCCTTGAGGTGCCTGAGGGAATAAAAACAAAGCATTAAGCTGTCATTCCAGCCCCTGCCAAACAGGCAGCTCCTCTGCCAGCACAGTCTGCACTGCCTCCAGGGAGYGACCCTGCCCAGCCCAGGGACTGTCCCTGCAGCCTGCTTTGCCACAACAGTTATCTAGAAGAATCAGAGCAGTAAACAAACAACAACAGTGAATTAAAGATATGAGCTCCCTCTGAAAAAAAGAACTTGAGAAAGCTGAGGAATTGCTGGGGAATGAAAATCAGCAACAAAACCACTCSCCACCCCCACAGCTGAAAGCAGCACCCAGCACCCGCTGATTTGACACCTATCATGGCATGAAGTGTAACTGCTCATGACTGGCTGTGCTGCAGGGAGCCATGAATCTTCCCTGTGCCATTTCACAGGCTGACAGACACACTCGGGGTCACCCAAGGACAAGCACACAGCAAGCTGAGCTACAGCAACAGACGGCTCCTCCTCCTTTCCTGCTTATCTGACTCCAGCTCTTCCACGCCAGCCTGAGGCAGAGCTGGGAGCAGCTGTGGAGGGGAATARGCTGCCCACGCCTCAACCAGCACCCTCAGGGGATCTGACACCCAGGAGAGGTAAACAGGTATTGGTTTTTCAACACAAGCCTCAGGGAGTGCCATGAAGGTTTAGAAAAAAGGCCAACTCTCACTCTGGTTAAATCATCATCTGCTGAGTAAGAAACCCTGGAGTCACATCCAAGAACAGAGACAAAAAAATAAAGGCAATGGCATAAACAACATTAACTCAAGAYACTGCAGAATCCACCAGCAACAGCTCTCTCACAAGACACTGAGGGTTCAGTGATCTCTGCCATTACCAGAGGCCACAGAGGGGCAAAGGCAGAGCTCCCACCAAACCCAACTCTACCAGAGACCAACAAGATGGGCCTTCCACAACCCCAGAGCAGAACAAAGCATCCATTTCAGCGACAGGCAGCATGAGAGAAATGCCATGAAATCCAGCGTTCCAGAAGCAGCTCCAAAGSAGCAGCATAGATTAGCTGCAGCATGCCGTTGAGAGACAGGAAAACATCCATTGCTTTCTGAAGTAACTGCTAGCCTAGGGGGCTCCCTGGTMCCCGGAGAGGTAATTTAGAGGTACAGGGTAAGGATGGGAACTTCAGTTCTTAAGATTTTGCTTTTAGAGCTCTGCCTCCCCTGTTTGCTTAGCCCATGCCTCAGATAGGCATTAATTCATTTTAATGTGTCGTAAATCCTACCCTAATTGCTCAGGCAGAAACACCTCTGTGCCTCAGTAGCAAGGGAAGTACATCTGCAACAGGACTGCAGCAGTGCTGAGGCTGTGCCTGTCACCTTTTCACAGCAGGTGCTGGGATCCCTGTGCTACCTCCTGTCAGTCATCTTCCCTAACATCACATGCACAGAGGGCAGTTATCAGGCACTCTCTGTCTCAGCGCCTTGCACAACTCCCAGAGACCTCCCACACCCAGGAGCACATCCCAAACATCAAATTTCTGTATTTTCCCTTCTCGACTGTCCCACATTGTGTTTCACTAAAAAGGTATCAAAATATTTTGCAATTCCACTCTAGAGAGCCAAACCAGAGTAAAATGGGAGAAAAACACTTGGCTGACCAGCAAGGAAATGAAGTCACTATAAGATGAAGAGGGGCTAAAGCATCCAGCTGCCAGGTCACACTCCCTCTCCACCTGGCCACCCTGTCCCTCATCTGAGTCTCTTGCCCATGAGTCACTCCTGCTGCAGGCAGGAAAGATACCATCCCACCAACCCAAACACAAGATGAGAGCTCATCCTGCGCACAGACAGCAAGTTCAGTTCCCCACTGCCTGCAGTTAACAATCCCAGGCAAAAATCAAAAGTTATGTTAATAAAACTATATACATCAGTACATGACCCTGACAGCATGAGAACACCTGATGCAACACAGAGAGCTCAGCTGGAAACAAGACCCCACTGTGCTTCTTCAAAAGCCTGGCAGCAAGGGAGGGCCAGAGGTAAACCTGGAATTGTGGGCCAGAGACATGGGAGGAAGGAGCCAAGAACCCCAGTACCTTGCTGAGTATGCACTGAAGATCCCCAGCAGAGGCTGGGCCAACAGGCAGAGGCCAAGGGCAGGGAGGACAGAGGGGAAAGCCTGATGTGTCCACAACTACCTGATAGTTTCCTGCAACTAATGTGAGGTGCACTGCTGGAAAACAAGTAAACCTGGAATGTATTTCTGCTATACCAGTACTGCTGYCTCCTTATTTAGCAGCACTTTGCAGGAATTACTGCTGTGTTTCCTGTAATACTGTGACATTCCTTGACCAAGGAAAAGACAGTTACAGTGGCACCAAGAACACTGGACAGGCAGACACTCTGTGCTGTCTGCAGAGAGACATGAAGACTGCACAAGTGTGRGGGACAGAAATGGCAGAGGAGGTGGCAGAAGCTGGCTGAGACACAGGGGAGAATTTTTAATGTGTAGAGCATTTCAAGACATGGCCAGTTTCCAGCCAGGATGGGATAACTGGCAGCACATGCCCTTCCATTCTGTCAAGCACTACCTGCAGTGCTGGTTTAAAAAGAAAATACGTATCACTGTGTGCTGCAGCAGCGTGCACTGAGTCAGTGCTGTTTGTTAACTGAAAGGTGGCTGTAAATCGCTCCTGCTGAACTCTGTRATCTCCTACCTCTGCAGCTCAGCCCTAGGGGCAGTGACCGTGCCAGGCTGGCACACCCATGTGGTGGCTCCTGACTGGGGCACACCAAGCCAAGTATTCAGGTAATAAGGACAGTTAAGGTACACTCTCAGAAAAWGTGGCTACAGACTTCCAGCTCCCCTCATGCCCATGCCACTGGGCAAGCTGAGGGGGGAGCGGAGGCCCAGCCTTCTCCTCGGGGGCCTCTCCTGGCTCTGCGTGCACGCTCAGGCAGCAGGTCCTGCTCACCTGGACTCGTGCGGGTGTGGACACTCACTCTGCCATCCCCTGCTCCATATTCAGGTCAATTCCCCCGTCGGCAAGGCTGCCATCGTCWGTGAAAGACGGCTTTGCCATGGAGTTCATGGACCGGTAGCTGGTGCCGTAGACCACCAAGCTGAAGACGAACGCGACCTGCAACAAGGAATCCGCTGTCAGCCGCGATGGCCAAGACCCCGAGGGCCCGGGGGCTACGAACGAACCCGGACCCTGGTGCCGCCACCTGGGCAGAGACAGTGCTCGGAGCTCACCCACGTCCAGGCGGAGGCGGCGGAGTAGAAGATGACGAGGTTCACCACGGCGTAGATGGCCTGCGGAGAGAGCACGGCACGGCGTTCCTGTCTGCCCGCTCCCGCTCCCGCCCCCGCCCCGCGCCCCGCCGGCCCTCCCGGCCGCACTCACSGAGGCTCCCAGGATGATGCGGAGGTAGAAACGCAGCGTCTCCCGGTTCTCCTCGAAGATCTGCTTCTTGCCCTTGGTGCCCGCCTTCCCCTTGGGCTGCGGAGCCAAGAGAGGCGGTCAGCGTCTCCCCGGAGCCCCGGGCCCCGCAMCCCCGGCCCCGCACTCACCGCCATGGCCCCGCCGGCTCCGCGCTCCGCTTCCCGCGGACGTGACGCGGCGGAAGCGGCGGGACAGAGCCCGGGGCCGCTCCCACGGAATCACGGAGCCGTGAGGTGGAAAGGGCTGATAGGGCTCTCTGCTCACGTAGSGTTATTCAAGACACAGCCGGACAATCCTGTGCCGTGCTCTGAATATCTCCAGGGGAGGGAGACTTTACACTCTCTCTGGGCATGCAATCCAGTGCGTGGTCACCCGCCCAGCAAAGAAAAGAGTGGGACCATCCTAATTTTCAGGTAGAATTTCCCGTGCATAAGCTTCTGCTCGATGCCTCTTGTCCTGGGCACCACTGAGCAGAGGCTGGTCCATCCTCTGACACTGACAGACATTGGTGAGGTCCCCTCAGTCATAACTTCTCAAGGCTGAACAGCTCCAGCTCCATGCCCAGCTCGCACAGTGTTGCCATCCCACCCTTACCGACTCTGGCCCCTTTTGACAGTCAGTCYGAGCCCTTCCCCAAATCTTTGGAAAGGACACGGCTCCAAGTTCTCCACAAGTGTTTATTGTCCCAATACACAGGAGGCAGAGGCATGACTGGATCCCTGCCGATCTGTGGCTGTTAGCACAGCACCCTCGGGAGAAGCTGCAGGCACRAAGAGGTGCAGGGCACTGGGATGGGGCTGTGAGGGCTGGGGAGGAGGTAGCTTGTCGTGGTGCAGTAGTGCAGCAGCATGGCTGAAGTGTGCAAGTATCCACCTGGGGCAGGAGAAGGCACCAGGATTGGCACAGTGGGCAGACCGGGGTCTCCTCCTCACACCAGGCCCAGCTGAATGGTGCTGGGAAAGGGAGCTTGTACCCTAAACATCTCAATTCCAGGACAGTGCAGAGGGCTCAGCAAAAACACCTTTCAGTGCAGGAAAGACCGTGYAGGGCAGGCACATTGTGCTCTAGAGATGCCATCTGTTTGACAAACTTAATGGAAAGGTGTGTTCTATCCTTTTTCTAACCACTTTGTTGTTCAGAGATGATCCCCTACGCTGATGGCAAAAGTGAGGCAGTGCAGATTTGTACCTKTGTAGTGTTACTCCCACTCCAGCTGTCCCAGGGATGCTTGTACCTTTTTTCCTGTCCACATCCTTGCCCTCTCTGCCCAAAGCCTGGCTGCAGTGTGGGGTAATCAGTGCCACCACAAAAGTGTTTAGCTGTCTGTATTTCATCTCACCTGCCCATGGAAGGGAGGCAGAGTAGCCAGGTCACCTCCCTTGAACAGGAGGCTGATGCTTGATGGCTCATTGCCAGGATCTCACAGGAGGACAGGACACAGGCAGGGAAGGGTGGGACACCCAAGCCCCCAGCCAGCACCTRGGCTTGTCCCTTTGGGCCAGAGATGAGGGACAGAACCTGGAGGGAGGGGTTTGATTTTGAGGGRCATAGAGGGTGGGGACAGGRTACAGGGAGGAACTCATTGTTCTGCCTGACTGAAGTCATAGCAGAAGTTTAAGTTGCTGGGGGGCTTTGGGATGGGAGGGGGTTTGTCAGGAATGCTGATGTTCTCCAGGTCCAAGAGCCGCAGCTTGAGCTCCATGGACAGCAGGACATCGAGGTCTGTTTGTGTTCGCTCACTTGTCATCTCCTTGCCCAGGAGCACATTCAGCCCATCCGTCCACAGGCAGAACTGGGGAGGCAGAGCATGGGCATCTCTGGCACCAGCCCTGGGCAGCCAGAGAGCCCACCCTGCTATGGTTTCCATCCCCAGGGATACACACAACTCACTCCCCTGCCTGCTGTCCCCTGGCAAGGACATCTCTGTGCCTCCCCAGTGGGCCCTTGGAGCTCACCTCATACCGGTTGGGGGCAATGAAGTTGAGGCAGTATTCCTCCACATCATGCACAATGGAGAAGGCCAGCTCCAGGACATCCTGCAGGGACAGCACAGGGGGTAGCCAGCTTCTCAGCTGGACTCCTCCCAGCCTGGTGGGGTTCAGAGCAGGAGCTGCCCCCCAGCCTCCTCCTTTGCACTCCAGGAGACCTAAGAGGTCTCTGTCCACAAAACCACCCAATTTGCCACCATCCACCCACCCCCAATATCTATCCCCAGCTGGGGAGGGGAGCATGCTGGGCCCTCTGGACAGGATGGGTGCTGACCTTGTTCTGCTTCCCAGAGCTCTTCTCCTTTGTGTGTGGACACTCCTTCCCCACCAGAAGCATCTTCATGTCCGCCACAGGAACTGGGGCAAGGGGAGGAGCTGTGGGCATCTCCTCTCCCTCTCTCTCCCCCTCCCCTTCCCCCTTCTCCYTCCCTCTTCCCCTTCCMCTCCCTCTCCCCCTCCTTCRGGTCCCCAGTATGCAGAGCCCAGCACAACCCAAGTGTGGGGACTCACAGCCATCCACAGCTTGGGGTGTGGGGCTCAAGCCACTCTGCAGTGCTCTTTTGGGAGCCCAATCTGCCCCAGCTTCAACTCCCACAGCTCCCAGTCCCACAATACCAGCAGGCACTGGGCCAGTCACGCAGCAGCAGCCARGCAGAGGGGCAATTCCCACCTTAAGGCAGTCTTAACCTGGGGGTTATCAGAGAGCTCCCCTCCCACCTTCCCCCCCTCTCTTTCTCTCCATCACCTACTTTTCTCCAGTAGGCTCTCGATGGGGGGAGACTGCACCCCCTCCTCCACATCYCCATAGTGCAGCACCTTGTGGTTGGGGGACAGGCGGCAGTACCACAATTTGTCTGCAGCAGAARAGCCATGGGAAATGCTCAGCCTCCYCCTGCAGAGATGCCCTTCCCAAGGGGGATGGAGCTGCCCCCTTATCAGCACTCCCCATTTTTCCCAGCCCATGGGTTAGCCCACAGTAGCTACTCCCACAGATTAATTGGGACTTCCCCRGTGGTAGGGGACATAGGAACAAACCTCTGGCCCCCTCCCAGGCCCCCCACCCTGGAGCAGGAGTCTGGCACCCACCCTGCCTGCGGCGGCTGCTGATCTTGCGGAACAGAGTTCCCTCGCAGAGGTGCAGCAGGCGCTGCTGTCGGATCAGCTCCAGGAGCTCTGGCTTCAGCTTCTCCCGCAGTTCCCTGGGATGAAAGCCAGCACAAGAGGAGCACAGCCATTTCAACAGGTGTTTGCTACCTCCCCAGCCCCATGGTGTCGCCCCCTGCCAGGCCTCCATCACAGCCCTAYTCCCTGCCCGCAGCCCACTCACAGCACGGGCACAGCCAGCGTCTCCTCCTGGTGCAGCCGCTCCATCTGCCGCAGTTTCAGGATCTCGCTGTAGTTCATTCCATTCACYCTGGTCTTGAATAGCTCCAGGGACGTGGGCTTGAGGGCCAGGATCCTGGTGATCTGCTCCCGCACCACCTGCATCACCTGCCAGGCCCAGGATGTCAACCCCAGTCTGGCCAAGCTCCCCAAATCCCTGAATTTGTGCTCCTGTCCAGAGAAGAAGCATCCCCTCTCACCTTGTCAAAGTCCTCCTGGGTTGCTCTCATCTCCTTCCAGGTCTTGTTCACTAGCTGGATGCAGATGCAGAATAGCTCTTCAAAGAAATGATCCTGCCCGAAGAACATAGGGTAAAAGGCCTGAGCCGTCTCCGAGCCTGTGGTGAGAAGGACAGATGATGCCAGACTCCCCAGTTTTTAGGGAGACCCAGGGCATTCCAGTGTCCAGGGGAACCTGGGCATTTCCCAGCCCCACATCCCCTTCCTGTGCTGTCAGCCAAGCCAGAGCCTGGTGGCCACATGGATGCAGTCCCCTGCCCAGGCAGCCTGTCCCCAGGCAGCAGGGCAGGGAGAAGGACAAGCCTGGGAACACGTACACGGCTCTCCGACGTGCAGGATCTCGCAGAGGATCAGGGTGAGCTGGATGCTGCTTCGAGCAAAGGGACATTCGTGTTTGTCTTCCCGGCTGCTGTTCTCAAGGACAAACTGGAGAAGAGGACCATGACCTCATGTTACACAGACATGGAGGGTTGTCCCAGCAGTGGGTGTCAGACATRCCATGCTCCTCCTGCATTCCTAGGCAAGCTGTCCCCCCAGGTAAAGCCATCCCTAACACAAGTGATCTACTCTTCCTAAAATSCAGCCCCAGCCTCCTCCTTCCTGTGGCAGTGTGGGTGCTAGTCACAGCCTCTGTAGGTTGGAGCATGCCTGATGCCCTGCTGCGTTTGCTCAAATTGCCCCAGTTTGCTCAAGGTCTGGAAACAAAGCTATGAGCAATCCCCTAAAAATTATGGGCACCCTTCAGAGGCACTGGCCTCAAATGRCTTCTCCTACCCAAAGAAGGACTTGCCTTCATCTGAAACAGAGCAACAGTAGGACACTTGCCCAAAAGGGACATCCTTGCCTGTGTATGGCCAAGGAGAGATCACAAGGAAAGGAAAAGAAGGTGGAGATCCACCAGCATTTCTCCACCAAGGAGTTCCCTGGAAGAGCACAGCACTCACCCTGCTGTAGGCATTAGGGGTGTTCTTGGAGAAATACACCATGTTGTCCAGGGCAAGGAGTCCTGGTGGGGCACGGCGGAGATCCTCTGCTGGGTTGCTRTTGTTCTAGAAGGACACAAAAGATRCAATTTAGCAGCTGCTGCTTTGTTCTTCCAGCAGCAGTGTCCTCCCAGCCATGGGGTTTGCCTTTGAGTCCCAGCAGCTCTGCAGCACTCGCTGCAGGARTCCCGAGGGAGCAGCACAGAGGTACTGCATGGTGGTCCATCAGCATCARCAGGGATACCAGGCTTAGGGGAGCCATCAGAAGGTGCCACCAAGGCCACGTGCTGGAGCCAGCATGGGGCTGGGGAGGGGATGCAGGGGRGACGCACCATGAAGCCCAGCTTGCGGAATTCCTTGGCGCACAGGGATCGCCGGCGCTCGGTGCTGAAGTTGCCCGTGGATGCCTCGCTCTCYGACTCAAAGGCAGTTTGGCGCAGGGACTGGAGGAGATCCCGCTGTTCCTGGAGGGAGAAGGGAGAGGAGGGGATGCTGGTGAGCCCCACAGAAGCGGGTTCTCCCAGGACAAACCCAAATGTATTGGGTTCACCCAAAAATGAAATGCTTCCACACGTGGAAGAGACCAGGTCCAGATTTGCAAGCAGAGCACTCCCAGACCTGTGAGTAGGGATCCATGGAGGTTTTCATGCGATGCTCGCACAGGTTGAGGCTGACAGACTGCAGCACATAAAGGTAGTGGGCCATCTCATCCCCCAGTGGCTCAGAGCTGTGGATGATGTTCTACAAGAGACCATGAGACAGAAGGTTCCCCTATGCTGCTCCTTCCAAGCACAGGACCCAACAGCCAAATCCCAGCAGGTCCTGCTGCTCAAAGGGGTGTTGGGGAGTGGGAAGCTCCCCTTGGTGTTGGGCAAGATCTGTGAGCACTGAACTGCAGGCAGATAGGGGTGCAACCCTGGGGGCATGGGTGCCAGCAGAGCAGCACCCACAGAAGGTATCAAGGAAGGGCTTTGGGGTGCACAGGCAACCCAGCCAAGCACGGTCACCAAAAGGTGGGGCTCAGGGGACAGGGCCTGCAGAGGAAGGATGGAGCAGACCCTTGCACAACCCCAGCTCTTCACCTTGTGGATAAACTGCCTGATGTTCTTCTCCCTCAGGTAATCCATCATGTCCTAGGGAAAAAGAAAGGCTGTGAGACACTCCCCAGCTCAGCACACCATCATTCCCCGCAAAAAAAGGAAGAGTCAAATGAGGACACAAACTTTAAACATCTCTGGGCACCACTTGCAGCCCTGCCATCCCAAAGAGCACAAACCCCACAGCAGAGGACCCAGGMTGCCCAAGGTCTCATCACAGGGGGAGCCACCCTGAGAGTCAAATGTGCCAGGGGCTGGGCCATCAGAATCACTGTGCCACCACCAACTGTGATACTTCTGTCATTTGGGATAAAACTCCTGGCAGGAGCCTGAGGGCTCTCAGCAGAGCACCCGCTGGCAGGGGCACTATGGTGCCCGACTCTGCAATGCCACCACCCTGCCATGGCCCGGTCCTGCCTGGTGSCCCTCACCCGCCGCTCAGTGTCGGTCGCGCTCAGCAGCAGCGCAATGAGCAGAGCCATCGCCTTCAGCTGCAGCTGGGCATTTGTCCTGCAAGAGGAAGAGGATGTGAGGGTCACCATCTCTGAAGATGGGGGTGAATTGTGCTCTGGCCTCTCCACTTACGCCTGCAGGTGGGTGAGAAGACGGTCCAATGTCACTTCTTTTTTGACCAGCTCAAAGAGGAGGCGGCTGGTAGGCACCATATTCTCCAAGATAGACAAGGAGAGCTGCTGGATAGATGCATCCACTGCATTCATGTTGACATAACTCACTATCTGTGAGACACAAAACCATCTGTCAGTGGCAGGCTGAGCATGGGGCACGAGGACAACAAAGAATCCCATAGGCACAAACTGTGGAGACTGCAGAAGACTCTTACCTTCCTGATGAAGACTGTACTAAGATTTTCCCAGGAAACAAAATCGTGCTCCATCAGCTCTGTGAAGGCTTTCAGGGTGTGAGTCAGGATCTCCCCTGTACTGGAGGGACAGAAGAACAAATGCAGTGAGGGTGGCTGCAGATTCCCCACTCCCATACTACAGTAGTGTCTGTGCAGTTGAACACTGGTGAGCATATTRGAAACAGCTAGAGAAGAAAGCAGCRAGCAGGGGAAAGGAAAGAGACTAYTGGATAAGAAAACAGACTCTCACTWAGTCATTCCAGGAACTTGACTTCTCCCAGGAAGTAAAGGCAGGCGAGGTTGGAAAGCTGCATCACCGTGGTACAAAGATCAAGAGACAAGCCCTCAGGAAAGCTGACCCACCCTATATCCCTCCCTCTGCTTCCAAGAAACATGCTGTGTTGCATGGTTCCACATTCTCTGTGTGACAGGAGCYCAGAGGAGCTGCACCATCACATCTTGAAAGACTCACACAGACACTGGCATTTGGCAACCAGGGTTTTCTCGAGCTCCTGGCAGATTTCTTGTAGCTAAAACCTCAGGCCAGAGAATGCCACATCATTCAGGGTAAAAAAAACTCATGAGGCTACAGATGACCCAGCCAGCAAAGGGATGGAAGGTTCAAGTCTGGGCACATTCACAAGGAGTCAGGACTGCATATCTGTGGGGACCTTCCCCTGGCTGCCAGCATGCAGGGACACAGCCACAGTGCAGGCACCAACAAGTCAGGAACACAAAGAATCCATTCCAACACCCAGCTTGGAACTCATGCAGCATTAGCAAGGGAGAAGGAAAGTCAAGGATTGCAAGGAAAGTCCTGACTTGATACTCACTCATGTCCTTCTTCCACAATAGAGTAGATTTGCTTCAAGCCATTCCTGCTGATGAACTCTTGAGCAAAGGTAACATCCTGGGAGAGGCTTGCAAGCTTCTTCAGTGAGTCAGTCTTCACATCCACATTCTTGCTCTGGATCCCGAYATACAACTGCTCTGCTTCTTGGTCCTACCAGGAAGGAAAGAATCCAGCCAAAGGGGCCCATTGAAAGACAGTGAGAAGCTTGAAGGTGGCTGGAAGAGCAGAAATGCAAGTTTTGGCTGAGTCTGGCTAGAGCAGCCCCAGTGAAGAGCTGGACCAAGAGACAGAGCCACCAGAGCAGAGACCAGTGGAGCTGAGGAAGGAGGTCAAGTTGGCATGACACCAAGAATGTTTGATGAGTTGGCCCACGCATCCAAAGCATTTCAACATGATTTAGTTTCTCTTCAAACTCCCCCAAGCTCTGCCCAGGGAAAATGAAGGCTGAGACAGGTCTCCTGCCTTATTTCTGCTGGGTCTGAGGCACGGAGAAGAGCCATAAGCTCAAGTCACCGAGGGAGTCAAAGGCAGAGGGCTCGGCGCACCCCACTGCAGCGACACATCCTACCAGAGCACACAGTGGAGGAGGAGACAAGGGGCAGAGGGATGTACCGGGGAGGTGGTCAGCCGTAGAATGCTCCCATTCTTAATGTCCCTGCGGTTCTGTAAGGAGAGAAGGAGCCGGTGAGGCGGTGGGCGCTGCAGCGGCGGTGCCGGGGGGCTGGGGGGTGTCTCACCGACTCGGTGATGTAGGTCTGCCGCCCGTCCGCGTACTGCAGGGCGTAGCGCTCGGCGTTGGGCAGGCTCCACCTGCGGCCACGGGCGGCCGGTCACAGCCCCATTCGGCTGGTGCCGGCAGCCACAGGGCCACCGCAGCCCGGTGCCGGGCTGTCACGGGCTGTCACGGCGCGGTGGCCGGCAGCGAGCGCGGTACTCACGCATCACASACGTCCTTGAGCACCGAGGCGAGCGGCTTGGTCTGCGAGAGGGAGGCCGGCCGTGAGCGGGAGTGGGGGGCCCGGGGAGGGGTGCGGAGGTGCCGGGCAGTACCTGCTGCAGCTCGATGAGCTGCGGGATGGCTCCCACCATCTGGATGGCGATCTTCACCACGTCCTTGGGCGGCGGCATGGCTGCTCCGCTCCGCTGCCAGTTCCGGGTTGTTGCCGCCGCCGCCTCCCCTCAGCTCGGCCCGGCCCGGCCGGCGCACCGCGGCCTTGTGCCACCACCCCASCCCGGGCAGGCCCGGCCCCCTCACCTGAGCCGACGCGGGTGTGGCAGGACCCACCTCCGCCAGCAGGACACGGAAAGGGCTCGGCACCCCGCTTTCCAGGCAAACCCATCCCCCGGGCGAGGGCAGAGAGGAGGCACAGGCTAAGGGCAAGGTGAGAAACTCTGGAAAGTTTTTGTTTATTTCACGTCAGAGAACACTCTGTACAAATATCACAGGCAATTTTTTTCCCTTGCCAAAAAAAAAAAAAAAAAGTATAAAAATAATCTTTATATATGAATCAAAAGTTCATTTGCAACTGTAAATTTTTCTCTAGGTATCCTTTTCGGGACGTCGTCTAAACTGGTGGCAGACATGAACACTGGGAAGGAGGGCGAGGGCCAGGCAGTACACGAAGAGCTTGAGCTACACCAAAGCCACGGAGTCTTGCTAACACGCAGGACCAAGGGATTCCRGTCAGCTTCTACGTGGAGGGGCAAAGATTCAGGGAATGGCTGCATGCAGGCTGAAGTTCACCCCCCAGAGGGGTCTCATACTGTTGTCTTGCCAGCAGCAGCTAMCTGCTGCCAAACTAGAGTGCCCCAATGCTCCTCCCGAGTTCTTCATGCTTTTCCCARCGAAGCTGCCAGTGCTTTGTTACTGCAGAAAGGAACAGTCCTTGTGGAGGAGTCCCATGCAGAACAGGATGGCCCGAGGAGCCACCCCAGAGACACAGGTTCCAAGCACAATCTCTTCTCACCTCTGCAGGCTCTYCAGACTGTACATCCCTTAGTGCTGGTGCTGCAGATGGCTGTGTGGATTACGGGCAGTAAGCAGTTATGCAGAGAAATTAAGTCTCAGSTGTTTAAGTGGATGGCTGGAAGCTCCCTCTCTGCAGCAGCCATCCGTGGCCTGGACTGGCTCTCTCTTCAGCAGTTTGCAAAGCAAGAAAGGCAGGACAGCTGCTTCTACCGTGGTGGCAGGAAGATGTGCAAAACTAAAGACACTCAAATTCAGGATCTGACCAAAACACAGAGTTGGGGGCTTGCAAAATACAACACAAATCCATCAGGGCATTTTTACTCCAACTAAACTGCACAAGGTCCAAGCCTGGTACCAGCTGATGATTCTAAAGAGCCCAACAACAGACATTCCGTTACAAAGCAATGAACAACTTGTGGAAAAATGATGCAGACAAAGCACTGCAGTAGGTAAAGACCTGCCACAGGATCAGGAACTGGGAGAATGAGTATGGGCACTAGGGGAGCAAATTCAAATATACAGAAAACCTGATCCTGAGAGAAAAAAGGGGTTAAAAAAGCTCACTATTTTGACACCACCTACATAACCTGTCACAGCAAAATACTACTGAATTGTTACTGCTTGGTTGCCTTCCAGACACTGAAGATTCAAGTGCAATGGCTGGAAAAAATGGTTGTTTGCAAATATGAACAGGCTCTGATGTCCCTGGAGTACCTTACAGGCACCAGGTRGAGCAATCTTATGCTTTAAAATATCTCTTCAGTCAGGCAAAAGCAAAAATTAAAAACTAAACCATACTGGCACCTCTGCTTTAGCCCTGTAGAAACAGCACAGCTGCTGGACAAGGAGCCGGTGCCCCCAGGGTTGTGCATCAGCAGAYTGGTGAAAGCAGATCCAACATTGCTGCTGATGCACAAACAGGGAARGGCTCAGTGCTCCTGGGTCCTACAAGGAGCAGTCAGCTCCCAAATCCCACTAGGAGGCACAGCTGGCTAAAAAGTGCTTTTTTTCTAAAACATACTAGCTTGCTCTGAAGTCACTGAAAGAAAYAGACACTTTGGTGCCATTCATTTTTTTCCTCTCAGTGCCTTTCAGAAATAAAACTACCCCAATCGGAACCAWTAACACAGAGAAACCTCTAAACTAAAAACCTCTGAGCTTGTGAACTGACCACGATATTGGAGCTCCTTGTAGCAGCTGGTACCTAGGAGGTGCAAAGTGCCTCTGGGAGTGCAGGAGAAACCAAGGCATGCAGATTGGAGGAAGCTCAGAGAGGCAGGCGGGCAAACTCTGCAGGTGAACTGGGAACACTCAAAACACAGACCCTTTGAAGTGAGGCCCAGGATCCAGTGGAGATGCGGGGGAAAAGCTGCACGTGTATCTTGTACGTGCCCTAGAGGAAGAAGCAAACTATGGGGAGGCTCCCAGCCTGCAAGTCCACGTCGCTTGGTTCTGAGTCCATTTGAGAGCATCTCTGAATTACTTGGCCATCRGGCTCTAGCACAAAAGGAATCCAAAAATAGACACTTTCCAAAGAGTTATAAAACAGTCCGTGTTTGCAGGGCTCACAACCACACTAAGAAGTCAGAGGTTGAGGACAGGCACGTCAAAGAGGTCACAGACGCCTTCGCTCTCATCCAGGTTATAGATGTAGTCGTGATCTCCAGGTGGAGGGGAGAGGCGGAGCAAGGGAGCAAACACTGGGRAAAGAGAAGCCCAGGGTTGGTTACAAAACTCAGCACTCCCACCCCAGCTGAGAGCTGCCAATGGCACTGAGCAGCGCAGCCACCTSACAGGAACAGTCTTTGAGGTTGCTTCAATCAGCCTCGCAGAACTGAAGAGACTCCTGGCTCTCACACCTCTCTCAGGGACTGGCAGGACAGCGAGAACAGAGTCTGTGTCCAGAGCCCAGAAAACACAGGGGCGAGTCTGCAGTCACAAGGCTGCCAGCTGGGTAAAGCTTCCTCCCAGGAAGGCCACACCATGACAGGAGACTCTGAGACTCACCTTCAGATGACATCAGCTCTTCCAGCAGCTCAGAGTTCACACATTCTGGGGAAGAGACAAGCATGGTAGCAAAATACTCTGCTCTCCTGGTCTGTTCCTGAGTAGTTCCCCACTTTCTCCACCCTTGTTATCCCTTCTCTGGCTAAGGCACAGCATGTGCAGCAGGCAGTGAAAGGAAGCTTGTGCTTAAAAGAGATAAAACCACGTAGTAAAAGTAATTCCAGCACAAAACACTATGGGAGAAYTCCAGCTCCTGTGGCTTAAACTGCACAGCCTTAAAGCAGCTGCCAGTGCCAAGGCAACATTACTGGGATCACACAGGGATGAGAGGCTGCATGGAAYGTGCTGCAAGGACCATTCCTCTGAGCTCTGTAGTGCTGTTTTTTCCAGTCCTGAGTTTTGCCACTGTAGCTGTTGACTCTGTTTTGTCCTTTGCTCCTGGATCTTTCATCTTCCCTCTCCAAACTGGGAAAAATACTCCATAAAACCACATACTTTACTGTAGACAGCAAACATCTTTACAACAGTGTCCACACAGTGACACAGTAGAGTTACTCTGGGTGAGTTAGATCTTCTACATGGCTGGGGCTTTGCTGTGGTTTGTGTCTCTCACTGTGAACTCACTCTCCAGCTGTACTTAAACATCATCAAAACTTCATCCACTATCTGCAGCAGAGGTGCTGGGCAAGGAGGAAGGATGTTCTCCAGGCTGACTGTGGAGCCCAGGGTTCAGAGCACACAGATTGGAGACTCACAYGTGTCTGTGTTTGGGTCTGTGGGGATTTTTACCCAAAGGCAGCACCTTCACAAAGCATCTGCTAGAGCACAGAACTTGGGACATCATACAACTGTTGTACATCTCCTGTGACCACCACTGAAGTGCTTGGGTGTATTTGGCCCTGTCTGGCTGTGGGGCTACCAAGTATGCCACCAGCAGTGAAGAGAAATAAATGTACTGATAAAAAGTTTCCCAGTTTAGGTTTATGTCAGATCAAATTCCTTCACCTCTTCTGCCCTTAACCCAGAGTCTGTCCCACCATTAGGCGGMAATCCACAAACATTCTTTGGGCAGACTCAGAACTCCAAACACAAGGACCAGCTTTAATCCCCCTCCTGTATTGCTCCAAAATTACCAGCTCCTCCACCAMCACCACTGAGAAGTATTTTGAAGAGAGAAAAGTATCTCCCCAGATTATTTRCTCGATTAGCCTTGGGCAGCTAAAGCTGAAGCAAGACTTAACAGGGAATTTTCTTTTCCATAGTACTGACAAACTGAAGGAGGAGCATGGGAAGGCCAAGCACAGGTTAGCATCAACATGGGAACAGGAAAGCCCTCACTGGTGCACTGCAGGGAAAGATCTAACAGAGGGTGCTGGAAACATGGAGACAGAAAAATACATAAAGAAACCAGTAACTCTGAGAGTGCTGAACTACAAGTAGAGGGCCAGCAGCCACCAATGACCACAAGCGCCTTACAAAACCACATCCACAAAATAATCCAAGAGGGAGCGAATCAAACAAACTGTCCCTTTTCTGTGGGTAGATGGGCACAGAATAAAGCTGTGGTCAGGGAAGGAACATACCTCTCATTGGATCAAACATCTCTGACAGCTCTTTGGGAAGTTCCAGTACTGCAAATACAACAAACCAGATGGTTTGGATCATTACATGAAGAGTCTGAAATGCTTTACAGCAGAATCACCCACAAACCTACTGTGATCCTTACACACCCAAATCATCCAGAAATTCTGCTCCCACACTCTGTCAGATATTTCTGCTGCAATGACAAGCAACAAAACACTTAAGGTCCACTACTTTAAAATAAATTTGTAGGAGGCCTGGGACATAACATGTTATCACAGTCAGCAGCTGTGTCTGCAAACCTCACTGGGTACACTGCCTCGATTACCTCGTGCAGGATGAGGACATGCCTTTGGAGAGGCACAGTGATAAGCTATATGCACATCCAAGGCCTAATCCACAACCAGGATGACTCCAGACAGACAGCACATGCTTCTCTGAAATGTGCCAGCAGCAGAAGTGAAAAAAGCACCGTGTGAGCTGCGTTCAAGTAAGATTTCCTCTTCTAACCACAACTTCCTAACCTTGAGTGTTTCTGCAAGGAAGTTKGGCTTCAAAATATTCCAGCACTGTGGCTTACCTAGAGGATGCTTTCCTCTCCTTAAGCCAGCCTGTCATTTCCTGGCATAAAGCTCCAGTGTTCCTTTTTTAAAGTACATCACGGAGCTCCCCAAATATACACTGCAAGATCACTAAGAACACAAGATCAT